CTCTCTCTCTTTCTTTAGCTTTGACCAATACTTCGGATCATACAGGACCCCGACAGGGCTGGGACCACCCACCAAGCCGCCAGAAAGCCAGCAAACCAGGCTAGATTTTGACCTGACTTGGTTAAGGCTACTGTGGGTCTCCCACTGAGGTCCCTGCGGGAAGCCGAGGCGCAGGTCACCCCTCCAGCTGCTGGCGTTGCCACCCTCCGCCGGGGAGATGGGTTTTGCAGGCGTTAGAAAACACCAGAGGGGTCTGGGAGGGCAGAGCTGGTCTTTGGCAAGAGACCCACGGCTCCAATTTTGCTAAGGCCGCTTGAGCAATCTTTGAAATTCAGCCGCCAGCCTTCTCAAAAATTTCCCCAGCCTCAGCTTTGTGCAATGGGGATGATATATTTAGCCTGGTGCTTCCTGGATTGGTGTGGGGGGGTGGGTTTCAGCTGGATTTCTGCTAAGGGGAGATGGGGGGGGGCATAAAGGGAAGGGTGACTGCAGGTTCCTGGTGCAGCAAAAAGCTTCTCAGCTTGATTTACAGCAAGAGGAGAGGAGAGAGAAGAGAAGAGAAGAGAAGAGAAGAGAAGAGAAGGGAAGGGAAAAGAGAAGAGAAGAGAGAAGAGAAGAGAAGAGAAGAGGGAAGGGAAGGGAAAGGAGAAGGGAAGAGAAGAGAAGAGAAGAGAGAAGAGAAGAGAAGAGAAGAGAAGAGGGAAGGGAGAAGAGAAGATTCTTCATTTGGCCAAGTGTGATGAGACACACAAGGAATTTGTCTCCGGTGCAGAAGCTCTCAATGTCTGGACATCTTCTGAATTTCTCATCTGAACTTGGGGGTCTCAATGGGGTGACTTGTGGGTTGTGAAGCTTCTCCTATGGACCCCCCAAGAAATCAGCCTGTCTCTTCTAGGATAGTTGGCAACCCAAGCAAGTAGTCCTCACTTTATGACCACAACAGGGGACCAGAATTTCCATTGTTAATCAAGGCTGTTGTTAAGTGAGTTGCGCCCAATCTAGGCAAATTGCTGCAGTCGTTAAGTGAACGGTGCGGTTGTTAAGAGAATCTGGATTTCCCCCGAGATTTTCCTTGTGGGAGGCTGGCTGGGAAGCTCCCGAGTGGGAGCCACCTAGCCTTGAACTCCGCGACCCTCAGAAATGCTGGCTAAGCGTCCGAACGTTGACCTCCTGACCACGGGGATGCTGCTACCGTCGTAAGTGTGAACAGCGGTCATAAGTCAACTTTTTTTTCAGTGCCATTGTGACTTCGGTCACTAAATGAACTGTTGAAAGTCGAGGACTGCCTATTCCGTGCCCCTCCTCAACCAACTAGACCAGGGGTAGGCAACCTTGGCTCTTTTATGACTCGTGGACTTCAACTCCCAGAATTCCTGAGCCAAGGTTGCCTACCCCTGAACTAGACAGTCACTTGTTTGAGATGGCATAGGTTCTCCTGCTTAAGCATGGGGCTGGACTAGAAGACCTCCAAGGTCCCTTCCAGCTCTA